TGTCCAAGCTAATCACAAGCACACTCGAAAGAAACGAGATCACGACACAAACCTTATTTAAGGCAATTCTACACATCATCATCTTCTGGATAATGATCATCTGATCATGCTGGTCTTCTGAAGTTATTCACAACTTGGTCTTGATGGCAAATTTTTATCCAGAAATGACAGCAACTCTATGTTTACAAGTTTGTGGCCCTTTGAGTAGTTGCTGTCATTTGATGTGCGTTTGACAGGACAGACTGCACCTCGCGTTCGTTTCATACAGATTACAAAACCAAACAACTTTTGTTGTCAAGTGTAGTTGGTTAATGTAAAAGTACAGATTTCTAACTTTATTTGGATATATTTCTTATGTCTGTGAAGCAAGTATTCGCTGAGATTCCGGTGTAATTGTTGACCCCCAAACTGTCATAAAAGCAGCCGTCTGATCCGAGCTTCTCCCCAAGGGAAACCCAAGTCTACAGTGACCGATGATTGGCTCCCGTATTAGTAGGTGGGGCTTAATTTGCCATATTGACCGTTACCTTTTTCTCCATTCAAAACTATACAAGTGACAAGTCTTGTGTTATAGTCTTTAAGTCATGTTATAGTCTTTAATTATACAGACTAATAGTCATTTAAGAAGGCGCAAACCCATCCAACTAAAAATATATAACGATAAATAATGTAATAAATGAGTGAATATATTTTAAAATGTTTGTTTACTCCGTAAACTAATGACATTTTGAAATGTCAAATAAAATGTTTAGAAATATGCCATGTTTTCAGGTTTTATTCATGTTTAAACAACACAATACCACAGTTTTACATTTATAAGGGTTAAGAAATCAATATTTGCTGAAATGACACTGATTATCAATCACAACAAATCAAAATGTTTTATTCTTACCAATTATCAAAAATACTTCTAAATAAATACATGACAATATTTTTATTTGAAATTTTGATAAATGTTAGCAGACCTTTACAAATATTATTTGTAAACCAAACAAATGCTAATTATTTTACCAAACCAAGTCAAACAATTCATTTAAAAACAAGCCAGCTAATAAATTTATAATTATGTTAATGATATAGTACCATTACAGAAGAAAATACTAATAATCTCTGTGACAAATATGCTCTATATATTCTGATGCTTTGATGCAACACCTTCTGAAGACTGAGAGTGAACGCTTTATCCATCTCAGATTAACCTACATCTTTCAGTTAGGCTTATCAGGTGAGCTTGCACTTGTCATTTTTTCTAGTTAGGATGCATGCTGTTTCCTAGATTGCTGCAACTATAAATTGCTCTATGGTTTTGGCAATCACAGAAAACATAAAAGAAGACATAAACAACATAACTACCTGGAGCATGGACACAGATTCAGGTCTAAACTCACACATAACATCTCTAGCAGACTGTCAAACCATTTAATTCAGTTAAAGAGACCAGTCTTACTCATCAGGACTGAATCTGGCACCTTCACAAGTCTGATATCATTGGCCAGTCAGCGTAATTTGAACATACCCTTATCTGCCCAGCAAACTTCCCAAATACAGCAGAATTCAGCAGGCATTTGTGTTACATAAGCATTTGATTTTCCTGTCCGATAAAGAGTATCTGATCTAATTACCTGCTTGACATTTGGCACTATACGCTTTCATACACAAAAAGGGCAAGACTCAAGAGACTTGTATTTTACTTCCAATCAAGGGAATAAAAGTGGATTATTGTGTATAAGCTGCATTTGATAACGGTAAAAATGATTATGATAAATATATGCAACTAATTGACACTACTAAATGTAAATCTTCATAAGTAAAAGAAGCAGAAACCTACAGAAGTGTATCTTGGAAAATGCACTTCACACTAAAGCACCAGCTGAATAAAAAAAATGCTAAAAAAAAAAAAACTAATTTGCCCACTGTCAAAATCCTTGATAGGGTGATGTAAGGATTGAGACATTCATCCCAATAATTATACTTATAACTGGCAAGTCAGATTAACTCCCAAAGGAGAAACAGAGATGGAAGCCAAATCCAAAAGCCTCAGGCTAAAGAACTTAAATGAGTTAATGGCAGAAAATTTATTTTTACTCCTTCTGTCTGAGAAATCTCTCTCTCTAAATTAATTATTATAGAACAAAAGAGAAAAGAGATATCTATATTCAAAGTACTACACTGTTTTGTGTTTCATATGCAGTGATATGCTAAAAATGTCATTTTCAAAGAAGTTAACTTTCAATGATGATGACTTTAAGGAGGATTTTAAAAACCTTTGACAAAAAGAGAGGTTTTACTTAGGTGTCTGCTTCCAATTGAATTTACAAAATAATTTTATAAATCTACAAAGCATATAAATAGCATTTTAAGGACCTATTTTTTATGTAAAACGAAACAACACTTATTCTGACGTGAATTTACTTTAATTGAGGTAAAGTTGATTTTATATTTTCACCTTTAGACTTTCTACTTATCATTTCGGAAAAGTATAACTAGGCATGAGACGATTACCGTTTTCAAGGTATAGTGGTGTTTGGAAAATCAAGGTTTTAAAACTTTTCTGGTTTAGAAAATTTTCTGCAATACCGTTCCTAAGGTATGTGTACAATTTTTCTTTACATTTTTTTTTATGACAACAGTATTTCCAGCAGAAAAGATATCCAATGCTGCTGTTTTAAATTGTAAAAAAAAAAAAAAAAAAAATCACAAAAACAAATGAAGACAGCAAAAGTTAATAATTAATTTAGCCTGACATGTTTACTGTTCCAAAAAAAATATTTTAAATGTTTCTCAAAATGAAATATACTGTGTTCAAAGGGGAAAAGGTTGTTGTTTTTAATCCAGACATTTAAAAGGAACTTATTTTATAGCAGTAATCACAATACCGTGAAACCGTGATATTTTGATCCATTGTCATCGTACCGTCAGAATCTTATACCGGCCCATGCCTAGTTCTAACTAGGGAAATCATAATAGCAGCCAAAGGCGACACGGTGGTGCAGTGGTTAACATGTCGCCTCACAGCAAAAAGATTGCTGGTTTGAATCTCAGCTGGGTCAGTTGGCATGTCTGTGTGGAGTTTCAATTTCTCCCCATATTGGTGTGAGTTTCCTCCGGGTAAAACATATGCTGATAAGTTGGCGGTTCATTCCGCTGTGGTCACCTCAGATGAATTAAGTGACTAAGTCGACAGAAAATGAATGAATGTATAATAGCAGCCAATGACTATCAAAGTAGAACATTGCTAATGTTGTTTACTATCATTTTAACTTGAAAGACGCTAGGAAATGCATTTGCCACTTTATACGCATGGACATTAAATTGTATGCCTTTCTGACCAACATTTTATTCACTTTTAAACTGAAAAGCTGCTAGAAAATGCACTTGCCACTTTATACGCACTTCTATTGTATTGTGAGTACCTTTATCATCGTTGCCATTTTAGCTTTTTATCTCTAATTACTGTTGTTATTTTAGACAAACAGGGCTGGGCTGAAGGGAAGGGCAAACGTAAATTTCGTTGTATTTTGTATAATGACAATAAAGATTCTGATTCTAAATGCAATGTCAGACCTAATATTCAAATTAGCAAGAAAAACAATATAAGGACCTTTAAATGAATGAATGCGCGAATATAAAACCGACTTTACCTCAATCTTACTTAAATATGTGCTGTTATGTTATATTGAAAGGCATTTTAGTCAACATCTGCCATAAATCATGGTAAAAATACATAATAGTTATTTTTTCTCAGAAAAAAAAGCTATCAGGAAGCAAATTGATGTATGAAAAAATATTCATTTTAAACGTTGATTATTTCTTATTTTTATTCCATTTTTTATTATTTTAATGTCTGAAATACCCATTTACTTCAATTCAATTTACTTCAATGTTTCCTAGATTGCTGCAACTATAAATTGCTCTATGGCTTTAGCAATCACAGAAAACATAAAAGAAGACATAAACGACATAACTACCTGGAGCATGGACACAGATTCATGTCTTAACTCACACATAACATCTCTAGCAGACTGTCAAACCATTTAATTCAGTTAAAGAGATCAGTCTTACTCATCAGGACTCATCATTTGTATAATGACAATAAAGATTCTGATTCTAAATGCAATGTCAGACCTAATATTCAAATTAGCGAGAAAAACAATATAAGGACCTTTAAATGAATGAATGCGCGAATATAAAACCGACTTTACCTCAATCTTACTTAAATATGTGCTGTTATGTTATATTGAAAGGCATTTTAGTCAACATCTGCCATAAATCATGGTAAAAATACATTATAGTTATTTTTTCTCAGAAAAAAAAGCTATCAGGAAGCAAATTGATGTATGAAAAAATATTCATTTTAAACGTTGATTATTTCTTATTTTTATTCCATTTTTTATTATTTTAATGTCTGAAATATCCATTTACTTCAATTCATCCTCGTTAAATGTAATCATGGGTGCATTATGTATTCTAAACAGCAAACAAACATGCCTAAATGATGAATCTAAACAGTAAGTATGCATGATCTCACACAAATACAAGGCCAAAGAGCAGGTCCCTATTGTTGGCCTCATGACTGAAGGTGCTTATGGATGAATCCATCACATGGCCCTATTGTTTACAACGGCACGATGGTCTCCACGGCACAACCGGTATTTCGGACAGCAAACGGTCTGTAAACGGTAATGCAATGAATAAAGGTCCAGGAACCACGAGATGCTAATATAATAAAAGCAAACGTAGAAAGTATAAATTAAATTCTCGTGTTTTAAGACATCCTCGGATAAAGCGCCTAAAAATAATGCATGTGAGGCTAGAACTGAGGTGTGTGGGCGTCCCTACATGTTTCTAAATATAAAATGGCTTCCGTTAATCATAATAACAACGTTTATGTTTTGGATGTCAGAGTAATGCAGATGTAAATAACCCGTCTCAGATGCCAGGCTTCATGCTGCGCCATTTACTGCGCATTTACTTCTCGGTAAACATCCCGGTTGCGTTACCTGGATTGCTCGGCTGATATAATTTCACATTCCCGTCCTTCCGGATCCTCACATCTCCAGGACCCGCAATCCGTCCAGGTGGACTCACGCCTGTCTCTTTCCGCCTGTGTTTTTGCGTTAACCACCTGCAGCACTGATAACACACGGCCCAGGCTTGTTCCTCGTTGATCGGTTGACTGTACAGTGTTAAAATCTCCTCCAAGCACAATTCCTCTTCCCCGTCCGTACAATCCATAGCGATGTCTTCAGGTCGCGCTCCATCTCCGGGATCCTGGAGAGCCGACGGTGAGATTAACATTCCTCCGTCAGTCATTCTTGGTCTCCGGGCTTCCCGAGAGCGGGACTGACTGTGCGTTTGGGTGAAAAAGAGACAGAAACAGTAGGTTTACGTTAGTTCTGTCATCGAGAAACACCGTATGCGTGTCCACCTCTGCCGCCTGTGTGTCGATACTTATGACTGAGCGCGGACTGTGAGCGGTTGCTGCTGCTGCTGTTGGACTGCCGGAGGCGCTCATATGACTTTTCCGCATGGTCTAAGAGTCAGTCAGTCCTCGGCCATGGAATTAAAACGACGATTAAATGAATTTTTTTATTAATTTAAAATTCTTATCAATTTAAAAAGTAAGTAAAATTGAAACTAGTAAGGAACATAGAATAATATACAGTGCACACCCCATAAGTAAACACACCCCGTTTTAAAAAAAGAATATTTTTATTAATTCATTTTCCTTATTCATCAGGGGTCATCACAGCGGAATGAACCGCCAATTTATCCTGCATGTTTTACACAGCGTATGCACTTCCAGCTGCAACACAGTACTGGGAAACACCCATGCACTCTTTCACACACGTACACTATGGCTAATTTAGTTTATTCAATTCAGCTTTAGCCAGGGCTCAACAATAAGGACTGCCCGATGGCCCGGGGCAAGCGTGTGAGATGCTCTGGACAGTAGACAGGATCGTTACTGGCCCGATAGGGCCTCTAATGCCCTGTCACTAAAGTTTAATTTGCCTGTGACTATTTGTCAATTGCGTGCAAATACAGTCAGAATAGAGAAACCTGTGTTTTTAAGCCTTCAAATGCTACCTTCTCGGTTCCTCTTATCTGATTAGATGTTGTGAGCATGTTATTTTTTCCGTAACAATCAGTACAGCTAAGAGACAGCAACATGGGGGCAACATCAAGTAATCATGCTAAAGGAAAACATTTGTCTCTAACGTCTTGGAAGCAGACATTTACGAGGGTATACCACGACTAAAAAAATGAAGTGATGTTTTGTACAGTTTGCTGTTAGTTTGGCAGGTCAGTCATCTTTTGGTTTTGCAAAAAATACCTGCACATTTTGCTATTTTCTTTGCAAAACACTTTATTAACTATTTTGAAATATTTAAATTCTAGATTTACAAACATTTTGACTTTTTTTTTATTTGTGGCTTAGAAATAGCTATTAACTTTTTTTGGTGGGGCCAGTGACAATATTGGCAGGGCAAGTAAAAATCTGAACCACTGGTCCGATTGGGCCAGTAGAAAAAAATCCTTAGCGTTGAACCCTGCCTTTAGCACATGTCTTTGGACTGTGGGGAAAACTCAAACACGGGGAGAACAAGCCAACTGACCCAGCCGGGACTCGAACCAGCGACCTTCTTGCTATGAGTTGACAGTGCTAACCACTGAGCCATCATGTCACCCATATTTTTATCCATTTGGGTAGTATATTTTGGTGCATTTGAGCAAAACAGATTTATCAAACAGTTAAGTTTATTAAAAATAATATTTTAGTCACCAAACATCTTTAGAAATAGAAAGTTGATGCATTTAAATCCATGCGAAATATTGCAAAAAAAAAATTACAAACTACAAAATTTAAGTTTGGGCGTCATAAAGGCGCAGTGGGTAGCACAATCGCCTCATAGCAAGAAGGTTGCTGGTTCGAGCCTCGGATGCTTTGGTTTCCCCCACCGTCTAGACATGCGGTACAGGTAAAAAGAGTAAGCTAAATTGGCCGTAGTGTGTGTGAAGAGTGTGTGTATGGGTGTTTCCACTGTTCAGTGTGAGGTTGCAAATGAAAGGGAATCTGTTGCGTAAAACTTGCAGGATAAGTTGGCGATCCATTCCAATGTGGCGACCCCTGATTAATAAAGGGACTAAGCCGAAAAGAAAATGAATGAATCAATGAAAATTTCAATTTCAATTTTAAAGAGAAAAAGAACTGCAATCCCATGAAGCAATGTAAAAGCTGTTGAGTGTAATGTAAATATATATATATATATATATATATATATATATATATATATATATATATATATATATATATATATATATATATAGTTGAAGTCAGAATTATTAGCCCCCCTGAATTTTTAGCGCCCTTGTTTATTTTTTTCCCCATTTTCTGTTTAATGGAGGGAAGATTGTTTCAGCACATTTCCAAGCATAATAGTTTTAAAAACTTATTTCTAACAACTGATTTATTTTATCTTTGCCATAATGACAGTAAATAATATTTTACTTGATATTTTTCAAGACACTTCTATACAGCATAAAGTGACATTTAAAGGCTTAACAAGGTTAATAAGGTGAAATAGGCAGGTTAGTAATTAGTCAAGTTATTGTATGGCGATGGTTTGTTCTGTAGATTATTATAAAAAAAATTGATTTTTTTTTTTTTTTTTTTTACGTCTGATAATAATTTTCCTTCTGGAGAAAGTCTAATTTGTTTTAGTTTGGCTTTAATAAAAGCAGTTTTTAATTTTTTAAAAAACATTTTAAGGTCAATATTATTAGCCCCTTACTGTCATGGCAAAGATAAAATAAATCAGTTATTAAAACTATTATGTTTAGAAATGTGTTGAAAAAAATCTTCTCTCCGTTAAACAGAAATTGGGGGATAAAATAAACAGAGTGCTAATAACTCAGGGGGGCTAATAATTCTGACTTCAACTGTGTATATGTATATATATTCATTCATTTTCCTTCGGCTTAGTCCCTGATTAATCAGGTGTCGCCACAGCAGAATAAACCTCCCATTACTCTGGCATATGTTTTACGCAATGAATGTCCTTCCAGCTACAACCCAGTACCATCTTGAGAAACACCCATACACTCTTATTCACACACACTCAAACACTACGGCCAATTTAGTTCACCCAATTCACTTAGTAGTTTTTAAAAACTATTAATAGAGGTTTTTACTTTGCGCCATTTTGCTATAAATTACATAAACTCAAAACTGTGAGAAATAAAATACTCAGGGAGAATTACTATTTGCAATTGCAAAGTTTATAACTTTAAATTGAAACTTGCAGAAAAATATGAATAGTGAGATTAATTTATTGCTCCAAAAAAGACAAGAAGAATGAAAAAACACAATCCACTTTTACAATTGTTTATTCTTTCACAGCTTCCATGCTGTTCATTGACAACACAAACAACTAGTGATCATCTCAGTCATCTTAAATGTTGTTGTTGTTTTTGTTTTTTGCAATATAATAAATAATGGACATAGTTAATCCAGTTCAATTATATTAGACATTTAGAAGTAAATGCAAAGCCCTTTAACCAATGGTTTGTTTGCCTGAGCAAAAGCAAAAGAATAATGCTGAAAAGAAAACGTTATGGTAAATCTTAACCTCAGTTTAGATGAAAATTTTATTCAAATTCTGACTGTAACATTTAAATGTTATCCCTCAATGTAAAATTGTAAATTGAATGCAAATTGTGAGGCCAGTGGGCTGTGCCAGCAAAAAGAACGAGGAATAAACCAACAGGCTTTGCACAAGCAGCCTGTTCCAAATACAGACTGGGATTTAGATTTCAATTAAACCTGATTCATAAATAATTACTGCATTCCCTTTCATAAAACTTTAACTAAACTAAAGCATAAACTAAATTGCAGAATCCACATCCATATAACATGACACAAATTAGGTAAACCTATTTTCTTTTTAGTTATTGGTTTCATAGTTTTCACGTGAAGACTGCAAACAAATAATGAAAATTAATTTGCTAATAAGACTGATTTCTAATTAGATTTTCACTCATGCTTATGAACTGTTAATTATCAAATAATGTAATGCAATCAAACAACGTGACTTGTTTAATTTTAACACATAACATACGCATGAGATTTCAAAAAACGAACTATACAATATTAATAATAAAAATAATTTGAAAAATGAAAAATAGTTTAAAACTGATTTCATATTTAGTGCATAAAACTAAGCATATCGCTATCCCTTAGAGCACAGGAGTCAAACTCAGTTCCAAAAGGGCCGCAGCTCTGCACAGTTTAGTTCCAGCCCTAATTAAACACACCTTATCAAACTTATTGAATCCTTCAGGCTTGTTTGAAACCTACAGGTAAGTCTGTTGGAGCAGGGTTGGAACTAAACTGTGCAGGGCTTCGGCCCTCCAGGAATTGAGTTTGACACCCCTGCCTTAGAGAGATGGCTGTAACACTTTCCACTTTCAAAATAAATGTATTATATTACGTTTTGGGAATTTAGATGTTTGTAATGCTATTTGCTGTTTCAAATGTGCAATATGTTAACTATTTTGAATTTCATTTGATTAAAGGATGGCATAATGATGATTTTGAAGTGATAAATTTATAGGAAAATCTGAGAAAAGAACGCTAGAACTCAACCCATAATGTTACGTACTTTATAGGGATAAGTTCAATATGTCTAATCAGCTTGCTTGTGTTTGTATTTCTGTCCGTAAACCTTGTCAATACTTTGGTAATGCAAAATATGGATCTGAAAATAAATCCTGCATTCAATGTCTAATTTTTAAAACATGTTTTCCTTTATGTTTATCCACAGCAGAATTTTAAACTGTTTATGCAATTTAAGATGAACTGCTCCATCTAGTGGTACCAGTAATTCTGCAGCACTTGATGGTACAAAAGTCTTATTTAGGCCTTATTTTCTTAGGAATGCAAATGATTTATAATATGTAAGGAATAATCCATGATGGGCTGTTGAAATATTAATAAATAATGCATATCCATAGTGGTGTTACATCTCAGGTGTGCCTTATTTTCTGGGTCAATTACAGTTTGACTATTAGAACACCTAAAGACTTTCTATGATGTATTTCTGCATAAGACTGTTCTTTTTGTACATCTAAAGTATTTGTTTTGTTGTGGCTTGATTAAAATTATTGCACACATTAGAACGTTCATCAGCCAATCAGTATCAATCATTCAACAGGGCCCCATAGTATAGAAAAATTAATGGTCTCTGATACTGAATTTTTTTAATATATTCCCAAATGATGTTTAACAGAGCAATGAAAATTTCACAGTATGTCTGATAATATCAGATATTAGGACATTAAGTCTTATTTGTTTTATTTTGGCTAGAATAAAAGCAGTTTTTAATTTTTTTAAAAACTATTTTAAGGTCAAAATTATTTGCCCCTTTAAGCTATATTTTTTCCCAGACAGCTGTTGCCTATGATTTTTTATGTATGTGATGTGCTAAAATGAAAGTTAGGAAAAATAAAAGCTATATAAAATATTTATAAAATAATAAAAAGATTGAAATGTAAAAAATACACAAATACAAAAACAAATACTATTAAATACTAACATTTAAATAAAAACTCATTTATCTTAGTATTAAAACAATATTATAAGTAATAGCTATCTCAGGGAAACCACAATTACACTTATTATAATATATAGCTCTAGCATTTGACAAAGGAGCTTCTAGAACCTCCCCCAGTTCAGTGCTGGATTCGGCTAAAAACTACTCAAAAAAGGAGCAGCTCCAACCATAATAGAAGAAGCCGTGGATTATGAGCCACAATCAGTAAGTATTTTTATCTGTTTAAATTGATGTATTACCTTCAAAGTTTCTAGCACTAACGGTATGTTGTAGCAAGGACGTAAACAAGGATGTAAACAATGGTAAATGCTGTTCGGCACCGCTAACAATTAAGCTACAAATTCATATTTCTCGGTCAAACCCCTGTAAACACTCACAATCTTCATCCAGCGCTGCAGTGTCTCTCTATGCAGCCGCTTTCCATGCGTTCTACATCTCAAATAACAAGCTTGCAATAGATATGTGAACATTTCATATTACTCACAAAAAGTACAAAGAAGGTGCTTGTAGGGGCGTGACAAGGTATCAATCCGCAACTCACAGGACATTATGTTAGCTGACTAATAAGAGCCTCTTGAGGGTGGGCCTTTCAGAGGAACTAGGAAATATGATAGTCGTCTTCATGTTAGCTGAGTAGCAGAATATAATTAAATTAAGATGAAAAAAAAGTGAATTTCTACAAATGAAGCATGAGCACACAATGCTTTGCATCTTATAAACACAACCAAGCCTTAAAATTACACTCTGGACAACCTCTTTAAAATGCATAATGCAAATACTTAATGCGTAAATGCATATTTAAGTCTGCCATTATAATAACAAGTAGTTAATTTTTTTGGCTATAGGATCCTGTTTTTTAAAAAATCAATGCTATCAGTATTCAAATTGCACAGTGTAATTCTAAAAGCTATTATTAATTAACTGGTATGAGGATTTCTAGGTGTCACTGTAGCCTATAATCTATATTTGCCATGCTAATGATCAGATGCATCTAACATCTAAGCACATATTATTGAGATGACATGCTCTAATTTCTCTCTGCAGCTTGTGATGTCTTAAATAGCCCATAATTCTCCTCTGGGTTTTAGAGTGTATCCTCCGCGTCAGATTCTTTCCTCCATGGTTTCCTTGGGTGAGATGTAGTGTTTGATGAAACCCCCTCTGAATGAGCTGTTCCCTCCTTCTGTGTTGTGCTCTTTGAGTCACTGATCTGCAGGCAAACACAAACAAGCTGTCACCATTTCAAAGGAAAAACAGGACCTATTATGGCCCCTTTTATAAAATGTCAAATAAATCTCTGGGGTGTCCTCTGAAAGTGTCTGTGAGGTTTAGCTTCATATTGAAAAATCCATCAGACCATTAATATATTTTGTCAACTTTTGAGCCTAATTGGCTGTGAGGAAAAACATGGGAAAACTACTTTTCTGGCTTGTCCCTTTAAATACAAATGAGGTACTGCTTTCCAGAAGAGAGTGGAGCCTCTAAATCTGATTCTGACACTCCAGAAACAACAAAACAAGTGAATAAAGCCAGAAATTAGCAGTAACAGATTAAGATCATGTTCACGTGAAAACTCCAAAATGCACTGTAATACATGTTAAGGTCATGTCAAACCAACAGGTGGCGATAAAAGACTTTTATGCTGAGTTCACACTTAACTCAGAATAAAGTATTTGTGCGTGAATAAATTGCATACAAGTCAATGCAAACATAAGAACAGAGGCGAATTGCTGACTATCCTGCAGTGCGAATGACGTGGAATATGTGACATGAACATGTGGAATTTGCCTCAATCACATCTTCCACGTTTGGTGTGAACCCAGCAGTGCTGGCCAATCAGAAAGGAGTTAAAAACATGCATGCTGATGTCATGAGGCAAAAACTCAGATTGTAGTGTCCACATGACCACATTATACCCAGAGACACAGAAGACGTGAATGAGGCAAATTCTGCACATTCTCAGCAAATGTATGCCGTATTCACATTGTTCAATCGAGGGATGGTAATCCGCCACTGAACTCACATTTGAATTGACTTGAATGTAATTCGCTTGTTAAGTGTGATCTCACGCGAAGCGGCTTCTAGGTCCAAGTGCTCTCTTAAACTGTATGGTGAGACTCATCAAAAAGTAATAATAAACGTTTACAAAGTGCTTTAATACTTCACTATTGCAATAGACAGTTGAAGTCAGAATTATTACACCCAACTTTTATTAAACATGATGTTTAACAGAGCAAGGAAATTTTCACAGTATTTAAAATACACTTAATTCCCCATTTAGTGTGAACTCAGCCATCATCGCCTCCTTTTGGTTCGGCATGCCCATAAGATGTGTTTTTATATTTTCATGTGGACAGAGGATTTTTTTTTTATTGTAAGTGGGAAAAACTTTTTAAAAATACCTTTGTACTTGTGAACATGCCTCCTGATGTCACCTGATACCCTACTGTGTTTTCGTGTGGGCAATCAGACAAACCGTATAGAAAAAAAACTTGTGTTTGTGTGGCTTAAAGACTTAAGCTGCGGTCACAGTAGTTTAAGTATGCAAAATTCTGTTGACTTGGTGAAGTCACAGTTCCAGTATTCATGTTTACACTACATATATGTCTAAATATTAGGAATTTTTAAGGATTTAAGAATCTGATGATTATTAATTGTGAAAAGGGTCTATGAGATTATAGCTGCTAGCCATATGTGCCTAGAAAATAGCAACTTTTCATTTTCTGTTGATCTTAGTACACAATGTAACTAAGAGTTAAGCTTTAAAGAAGAAAATTATCAAAACCCTTTTTGAATTTTTAGAGCGAGATGCTAATGGTCCAATCTGATTCAATGATTTATGCTAAGCTAACATAAAAGTGCTCTCACCATACCCAAAAAAAAATGGTTGAATAGATTTAAAAAGTGAGTTTATTTTTTAAAAAGTAAATTGTTCTTTTAAACTTGGAAAAAAAATCTGATTTCTATAATATATCCTCTTTATCCCTACTATAAAAAATAAAACTATTAGAAACCACCACAGAAGATTCTAATAATATATACTACATAATATATACATAACTGCAGATGTCCTGAGTTCGAGAAACCTTTCTCAATCCATCTCATACTGTCCATTTATTGTCCTGTCGTAAAGGCAAAATGACCAAAATAAATATAAAAAAATACTTTAACAGCAAACCATCCCATGTTAGCCAATAAAATCAACACATTTTAATGGTCTCTACTGTGATTTTGCACATATTCCATTAGGATTTATTGTTTTTAACGTGCTAATATGCAAATACTGTAGATGGCAAAAAACTTACCAACAGAGACCCACAGGACAGCTTCCTTTAAAATCAGTATAATTTCCCTCTTATCTGCTAAAGCCATTGCAAATTCCATGATGGTTTCTAAAGTTTTCTACAGCAGGGATGTTATTCAGACATTGGCCCAGCTGTTAGCAAAGCCTCTATTAGCAAAACCCTGATGTTTAAAGCATTAAGCAGCTGAGACTTTTGAATGTGTCATGTTTCCTGAATATGTGCCAGGTTTATTATTCAGTGACTCACACCTCATGACTGCAGGATGCTCTTTGATGGTTCGTGCAGGTGCTGGAAATCTGCTTCACACATTGAGTTCCTGCATTAACCATCCGTCTGCCTCTGACCTCCAATCCTCTACCTGAGGAGGAGATGACAATCTTATTTCACAATGGGCAGATAACAGAATTCAAAGCATATTGAGATAATTCTGGAAGCTTCTTAAAGGCCCATTCACACCAAGGATGATGGTAAAAATCCGATGATGATTGATTAAACATTGACTAGTCAGAATCAATACTGTGTTTTATTTAGAAATCATCAGCATCATGAACCAAAAGATGACAGTGGCCATACCTGGGATGTTTTAACCCACTTTTCTATGTTTATGGATTTAATGATGCATGATATTATAAATGGATGTCCTCTGAAATATAACCATTTAAAGTGATAGTTCCCTCAAAAAAAGAACTTTATTCATTCTGAAGTGGTTCCAAGTCTTTGAGTTTGTTTTTTTCTGTTGAACCTACACTCACTGGCCACTTTTTTAGGTACACCTTACTAGTGCCAAGTTGGACCCACTTTTGCCTTCAGAGCTGCCATAATCCTTCGTGGCAAAGATTCAACAAGGTACTGGAAATATTCCTTAGAGATTTTGGTCCATATTGACATGATCCCATCACACAGTTGCTTCAGATTTGTTGGCTGCACTTCCATGATGCAAATCTCCCACTACATGTCCCACTACATGTCAAAGGTGCTCTATTGGATTGAGTTATGGTGACTGTGGAGGCCATTTGAGTACAGTAAACTCATTGTCATGTTCAAGAAACCAGTCTGAGATGATTCTGGCTTTATGAGATGGCGCATTATCCTAAAGTAGCCGTCAGAAGAAGGGTACACTGTGATCATAAAGGGATGGACATGGTCAGCACCACACTCAGGTGGGCTGTGATTTTGACATAATGCTCAGTTGGTACTAATGGGACCAAAGTGTGCCAAAAAATATCCCCCACACACACCATTACATCACCACCAGCAGCCTGAACCATTGATACAAGGCAAGATGGATCCATGCTTTCATGTTGTTGGCGCCAAATTTCGACCCTGCCATCTGAATGTCGCAGCAGAAATCAAGACTCATCAGAGCAGGCAACGTTTCTCCAATCATCTATCGTCTAATAGTGGTGAGCCTCTGATTATTGTAGCCTCAGTTCCTGTTCTTAGCTGACAGGAGGAGGGGCACTTGGTGTGGTCTTCTGCTGCTGTGGCTCATCCACCTCCAAGGCACCAAAACCAAGGTTTGACGTATTGTGCATTCAGAGATGTTAGGCACCTATTGTCTGAGAGTAACGTAATTTCGATTCTCTATATGTCCTGTACATGTGCTTGAATTGACAATAAAGCTGACTTTGACTTTTGACTTTGGCTCTTCTGCAACCCTCGGTTGTAACGAGTGCTTATTTGAGCTACTGTTGCCTTTCTATCAGCTTAAACCAGTCTGGCCATTCTCCTCTGACCTCTGGCATCAACAAGACATTTGCGCCCACAGAACTGCCACTCGTTGGATATTTTCTCTTTTTCTTACCATTTTCTGTAAACCCCAGAGATGGTTGGCCATTAAAATCTCAGTAGATCAGCAGTTCCTGAAATACTCAAACCAGCCCGTCAGGCACCAACAACCATGCCACATTCAAAGTCAATAAAATCACCTTTCTTCCCCATTCTGATTCTTGCTTTGAAACGCAGCAGAGCATCTTAAACATGTCTAAATGCTGCCATGTGATTGGCTGATTAGAAATTAGCATTAACAAGCAGTTGGACAGGTGTACCTAATAAAGTGGCCGGTGGGTGTACAACAATATGTCTTGACTAATGTTGCAAACCAGCAGACAAAACACTTTTTTTAGCATGACCACATGAAAAAATACTATAGTATGCTATAGTATAAGTAGTCAGTGTTTTGAATCATACTATATTTAAGTGTAGTATACTGTATATATTACAACATTTGCATATTGTTCATGAGTACTACATCTGCATCATGCTGTAGTATTAACTTTAGTGAACTGATAATAAATACTGAAGTATACTTGAGTGTTTATTACATTGAACTGTTGTGTCTTGTTGTAGTATTATACCCTATAGCTGTAAATTAATACAGTATTGGGTAATTTGTAGTACCACAAAAACTATTACCACAACTTTACGTGTTAAAAAATATAGTATTACAAAAAAACTTTAGCATACTATATCATATTTTTTCCATCGTATTTGAACAATCAAGACTTTTTGCACTTAAGTCAGGCGGATTATATGGTATACTATTACTTTTAGCACACAAAAAACACATACCTGACGGTTTTGCACTGTCTTTAATAAGATGGTCACAATCACCACGGACGGCACGGTTCTTGTACATCATCATGTCGTTTGGGATTTCAGCCTCGGTGTTGGTAAGCCATGTCGACTCGGTCTCTCTGGTCCAGCTCTCCTGATATCGCGGCTCAATAGCATCTGCTCGACTCCCTCCGCAGCCCATTGAAAGAAGATGAAACGCAGCATGCGATAATCACTGATGCAGACGAGCGCGCGCCTTCATCTGTGTGTCCCGCGCGCGCAGCTGTGCATGAGTAGACGAGTGCATTTGCCAAACTTAAATTGGTCATCCTTTACGTCATTGAGGGCCGGTTACAGTTTATTTACTGAATAGTCAGTGGAGACTGGTCTTATGGTTTACGCCAAAACAAACAAGAAATGAATGCGTTTTAGCAATTTTTAAATGTAATCTATATCATACACATATAATGCACAAAATGACACTATACAGAAAATATACACGCACCGGCCATTATATTAGGTACACCTTACTAGTGCCAGGCTGGACTCCCTTTTGCCTTCAGAACTGTCTTTATCCTTCGTGGCATAGATTCAACAAGGTACTGGAAATATTCCTTTGAGATTTTGGGCCATATTGTCATGATAGCGTCACACAGAGTTGCTGCAGAGTTGCTCAGTTTCCTGTTCTTAGCTGACAGGAGTGGCACCCGGTGTGGTCTTCTGCCTTAAGGTTCGACGAATTGTGCATTCGGAGATGCTCTTCTGCAAACCTCGGTTGTAACTAGTGCTTATTTGAGTTACTGTTGCCTTTTTGTCAACTTGAACCAGTCGTATCATTCTCCTCTGACCTCTGGCATCAACAAGGCATTTGTGCCCACAGAACTGCCCATCACTTGACTCTTTTTCTGACCATTCTTTGTAAACCCTAGAGATGGCTGTGCATGAAAATCCAAGAAGATCAGCAGTTTCTGAAATACTCAGACCAGCCTATCAGGCACCAACAACCATGCCACACTTAAAGTCACCTAAATTACATTTCTTTTCGATTCTGATGCTCGGTTTGAACTGCAGCAGATCGTCTTGACCAAGTCCACATGACTAAATGCATTGAGTTGCTGCCATGTGATTGGCTGATTAGAAATTTGCGTTAACGAGCAGTTGGGCAGGTGTACCTAATAAAGTGGCCGGTGAGCGTGAAGACAGACACAGAAAGACAGAGATAGACAGATGGAGAGATAGATAGATAAATAGACACAGACAGACAGACAGACAGACAGACCGATGGATGGATGGATGGATGGATGGATGGATGGATGGATGGATGGATGGATGGATGGATGGATGGATGGATGGATGGATGGATGGATGGATGGATGGATGGATGGATGGATGGATGGATGGATGGATGGATGGATGGATAGATAGATAGATAGATGGATGGATAGATAGATAGATAGATAGATAGATAGATAGATAGATAGATAGATAGATAGATAGATAGATAGATAGATAGATAGATAGATAGATAGATTTATAAAATAAAAAAAAACACCAGATTATGTGCTATAACTTAAGTTTATTGAGTTTGATTGGTCTTTACATTCAGCATGTGATCTTGTATTTCACCCTTGCCCAATGAAAATATAAATACATCTAATCTCACAGTAGAAGCACAAACACAAACACAAATACAGCAGCACAACTAGACATGATCACTGCATTACCCGCACATGGCACAGAGTGAGCACCAACAGAAGATGAAAAACAACACCATGCACAACCATTACTGGCTCAGTGAATGAGGAGTGTTCAAAGTTGGACCTGACGTGCCCTCAAAAGGACAAATATTAAAGCCCTCAAAATCCTTCATTTTAAAACACATTAGATCAATAACACAGACAGAGAAATCCGACTTCTTAATCGAAAGTTGCTGGAATGATAAATAAATTAGACAGTGAGAGATTAGTAGTAGGTAAAGACAGAACGAACCATACGTGTTTACTAATAAATGATCAGGGTCAGTGTTGTTTAAAAACAATGAAATGGTCAATTTGATGTCTATTTTAATTCGAGGAGATTGACGTCGATCTTGTAATAAACGTATGGATAGTACTCCTGCTGGCTGAGATTCAGACCTGGGATGTCCACAGATCCCTAGAACACAATAAAAGTATAACAGATAAAATCAAACATTTTTAGTGCTGGGCAAAGATTAATTTCGATTAATTGCATCAAAAATAAAAGTTTGTTTCGACATAATATGTGTGTGTGTGTATTATATTTATTTATTAAGTATATAACTATATATATATAAAATATATAAATATATATTTAATTTGTATCATTTACATATAGAGTTGAAGTCAGAATTATTAACCCCTCTTTATTTATTTATTTATTTTTTATTATTCCTCAAATGATGTTTAACAGAGCAAAGAAATTTTCACAGTATGTCTGATAATATTTTTTCTTCTGGAGAAAGTTTGTTTGTTTTATTTTGGCTAAAATAAAAGCAGTTTTTTATTTTTTTAAAACCAAAATTATTAGCCCCTTTAAGCTAATACAAAACAAACCATTGTTATTCAATAACTTGCCTAATTACCATAACCTTCCAAGTTAACCTAATTAACCTAGTTAAGCCTTTAAGTGTCACTTTAAGCTGTATAGAAATGTCTTAAAATATATAGTAAAATATTATTTACTGTCATCATGGCAAAGATAAAATAAATCAGTTATTAGAAATGAGTTATTAAAAATATTATCTTTAGAAATGTGTTGAAAAAATCTTCTCTCCGTTATAAAGAAATTAAGGGAAAAAATAAAGGGGGCTAATAATGGTGATTTCAACTGTACATAATAAATATACACAGAACACATACACATATACTGTAGTGTGTCAAAACAAACCAGGGATGGGCAAAAATACATTGACATTTATTTTAAAATCAAATACAAAATACATAAATTTTAAGTGCATCAAAATAAACTACAAAATACAGCCGCCACAACATGTATCAAATAAATCCTGTATTTAGTATTTTGAATATACTACAAAATACTTTTACATGGTTATATAACGTTTCTTTGCAAACCTTCTACCAATAGGCATATTCGATCAATCCCTTCAGAATTAAACTGATTTACTGAAGTAAACAATGTTTGACAGCAACAGGGTTTCTCTGACCAAGTTTAAGTCAGCTTCACTGCACCTCATTCACCTCTACTCCTGAACAAACTTTTGTTTCTCGTTTATTTTAGCATACATTTTGTACAAATTTCATACAGAAAGTCCTGTGTTGAAGATGATAACATCTCATGCAGATAATGAGTTGGAACATTGTACTTTATATCTTTATTGTGTTTCCATTTATTGGGTGGCCAGTAAAATTGCTACCATCTCTTAACAGTTATATTTTAAAGAGTAATATATAAAGAGGTCGTTTTAATTTTTTGGTCACACTTTTTTTTTATTCAGAATTTTTATTATTTTTATTATTATTATTTTTTTTGCAATTGAAATCGTCACTACTTATTGTAAAAACATGATTTCTGGAAACTACCAAAATATTCAGTTTTAGTGTTTTCTTTAAATCATGTTTTTATGCAAGTGTATTCTCTAATGCACAATTTAAAACATGATATCTTTAAAAAAATAATGTTATCAGTTTTTGCAAATAAACATATGCATCTTGGCATCCTGCTGCTGCTGTGTAAATGGAGTCTGGAGTTTTTGAACAATCTGTAAACTGGGGTATTATTAAATATTTGTGTGTCATACTGTATACTGTATTGTGCCACTTTAACATCTTTAGACAGACATCTTACCTCTAAATTAACTAGACAGTGTGCCTGCAGATCAGCTACTGGCATTTGAAACGGCCAATGAAGTATTGTAGGTATCGCCATTATAGGAATTATTTTAATGTTGCTTGTCTTATTTTCTTGGCATCATCATCAGCAATCCATCTAAAACTACAATTAATTGTGCAGTTTACTCATTTTCCCAAGAGTTTTTCAGTTCTTCTTTAACTGGATGGGTCTCAGTTTACCCCCTTAGTGAACACCGCTAAACCATCTTTAGGGTTTTTTTTTTTTTTTTGCATTTCCACCTGCAGCACTGAGACTGAGAGTGATTATGTGCTGTAGGCTCCATATTCCGGTTTTTGGACTGATGTTTTATTCCATCTCATTTTTTAAGCATAGATGCTGATGCATTGCACACACCACAGTGCCATTACATATTACTGGTCTTAGCATTGTGCAGTATACTGTTTTCAACAATTGTGGACTTGCTTTCAAATATACCCATTTTTATGATGTCAACATGTAAACGTCATACAATGTATTTTAAAAACACAAAATACAAGACACTACTACTACGACAGACAAATACTACAAGTATTTTGATACAAAATATTAACTCTTTTTCATAAACCCAATCAAATACAAATTACAAAATACTATTTATATACTATATACATACTGTTTTTAAAATACGTATTTGAAATACTTGTATCATAGTACCCATCCCTAAAACCCTTTTATTTTGGAAGCGATTAATCGCAATTAATTTTTGCCCAGCACTAAACATTTTATAAACAAACACCCTCTCCATTTTACATATAATCAAACAGAAATGTATTCTTCAAAATGTAATATCTCCCAATTTCATCGTTTTTACTATATTTTTAAAGTAACCATAGACTTGTGAGCATAAAAGACTTCTTAAAAAAAGGAAAACCCACAAAGATATGACTTATTTCAGACTTTTGATTTTACTGTGACTTACATCAATAACAGCAGCACTGCTGTCCAAGTGTTTGTAAAGATCCTTCAGAACTTCTCGCAGTTTCTTTACATTCTTCTTGTTGGGCTGCAGCAGCATGGCCTGAAAATTAACTGGCAGCCCATACCTGATAAATATAAACATGGACATCATATGTCAAACAGTATATAAGCATTTTTCTGTTAAGAATTAAGAGATTTACTGTAATTTTTAGGTATGAGTTTGAGTAAAACGTTACATGTAATAAACACCTTATATACATCTTTTTTTTTCCTTTTTTAAATATTTCCCAAATGATGTTTAATAGAACAAGGAAATTTTCACAGTGTGTCTGATAATCTTTTGTCCTCAGGAGAAAGTCTTATTAGTTTTATTTTGGCAACAATAAAAGCAGTTTTTAATTTTTTAAACACCATTTTAAGCAAAAAATTATTAGGCCCTTTAAGCAATTTTTTTTCTGATAGTCTACAGAACAAACCATTGATGTGCAATGGCAAAGATAAAAATATTTATTTATTAGAAATGCGTTATTAAAACTATTATGTTTAGAAATGTGTTGAAAAAGTTTTCTCTCCGTTAAACAGTAATTGGGGAAAAACATAAACAGGGGGGCTAATAATTCTGACTTCAACTG